AACTACTTTAACTAGTCTAATGATAAAGTGAAGGAAATTATCAATTAAGAGTCTTAGAAAGTTGCTGTCAGCTAACTAATTAAGAAATGGGCATTTGTCTTTGAACATTTTTAACAAAGAGATGTTAAATAAAAATGGCAAAGAGTAAATCTGAATGGTGGGAACCTGGATGCTACCAAATTAGTTTCTTTCCTTTTGTATGTTTTAAGCATTTCTTAACTTGACAATTACAAATCTTATAAAGAAGTTATTATTATAGTGTACTCAGAAACATGTTCAACAAGTAATTCCAATTTTAATGTTTCTCTTGTTTTGCACCATGCTAACTAAACTTCTGGCAACTATGGATGACAGACTAGATAAAGCACATCTGGACTCAACAAAAATCTTTATCCCAAATTCTTATGAATTCGAGACTAGGTCAAGATAAGGCTTTGGGGGCTTTTCCTAAACCCCCAAATTATAATAGAGCACCACTAATTAACTGTTTGTTTTAAACATAACAATATAGCCCAAAACTATGTCAATAGACCTTGCCAAAGCTCAATATAATATAAAGTACACATGTGATATCACAGACACCAGACATTTCAAGAAACTAAATAATGCCAATTTATATCAGTTTTGTAATTTTCAGAGAACTTTCGGCTACATTGTTTCAGTAAATCATAGATGTTAAAATTTGTATACTCCATAGGGAAAATTGTGCATTATTTCAATGCAAGTCTTCTCATGCCAGATGATAAGCTACCCTCTGGCATATTTTCAGTTAAAGCAAGCTCTCTTAAGAGCCTTGAATTAACTTGTTGAAATTGCTTAATATGCTAATTGTATAAATAATAATTTAATATATGGTAGTGATATGTATTTATATTTCTTTACAAAGTTTAACTGACAGTTTAATAGCCAGCAGTTTTGTGCTTCCACAATGGAACATGTAAACATGATTCTTAAGAGAAATTACAGAAGACCAAGAGACAGAAAAATCCAAACAAGAATGTCCTCTGATGACTGTATAGATTAACAACTAATGCAAAAGTCCTAAATTTAAAATAAACTTCAATAATATGAAACTAAGGTCTATTCAACTTCTCAAAAAGGTGCAAGCATTTCTTTTCCTTAAAAACACACAGCCAGACAGCCTGGAATTTGTGATACAGACCTCTCCCATCACCCGGGATTCTGATGATCCCTGCAGGCAACCAACAACTGCTGTATCTGTGGAATGTGCTCTTTGAACTGTACAAAAGCCTTCAGTCTTCCCTGCATTCAGCAAACAAAAACTGCCAAGTGCAATTATTTCTCTGATTTAACATAATACAAGTGTTATTTTCCCCTTTTCTGCACCCTACAACTTTCCTAGTGCCAGTAGTGGCTTATAATGTATACACTTACAAATATAAGAGGAATCATTTTCCTTATAAAAATTAAATTTGTTTTAGTAATACAATAGTTCCACTGAACATAATATAAAATTCAACAGACACCATATTTCCTTTTGTGTATATGTTTTAAGAATTCTATTTCTATAGAAAGATTGGAGGATTGAATGGGATTAGTCCTTTTAATTATATGACTGGAATCTTCAGCTTGAAATCTTTCTTGCAAAAAAGGACAAATACAATAGTTGTTTATATGCAATTCATTTACCAAAAAACCTCATTAGAGCTAATGAGAATATATCCTTTCAAATGTGACTATCTTTTGATATTCAAAAGAAAATGAAAAATTTTAAATAGTCCTGAGATAGAGTTGCATGTATATTTAATCTCACCTACTAGTAAGATGTTAGAACAGAGCATTCTTCTAGCCTACATCTAACATAAAACGCTTTTTCAATGGACTATGTCCTTGACTTATGCATACCTAAGTATTTTTTTTCAAAATGACAGTATTAAACCCAGTATTGAAAAGTTAGTTCCATTTGTACATTAATACTTCCAACTGTGGGCTTGTATAAAATAATTATCAGCTGCTTTACTCTATGTGAAAATATTTGAAGTTTTGTTCATAAAATTAAGTTATGAAGAGATAAGGCACTATCATTTATTTTACACACAAAAAATAATTATCAAATAGAATTAGATATTACAGGAGACACTAAGAAAAGATAAGGCATATTTTTGTTCAAACGAAGCTAATAATCAAGTTGAGGGGAACAGGCACAAATGCATAAAGCAATTAAAGCATAAAAATATTATATACATTTGCCCTTTCTAATTAAACAGGATCTGTTCATTCCATGTTCGCTTTTACTCGAAGTTCAGCTTCATACCAGTTTTGAAAGCCAGAGGCATTGTAAAGTGTTACAAAACAAGGCTGAATCTAACTAGCTCAGCAGTTGAACCTTTCTACAGATATGGATTTCTCTTCTCCTCTCTCTTTATCACATTCTTATCTCCTACATTAGGACACTTTTTAATTACTGATCCTATAAAAAGTCTTTTATTTTAACCAGTCATGTCATATGGGCTGTATCATTTTGTGATGCATTTATTAAATAAATATTTATTAAGTAATGACTGTGTCAAGCAAAGGATAGTCAAAGAATCAGTTTAAATTCAGACATGTGAAGGTTCAAATTCCAGGTCTGTCACTTAGTAACTGAATAAACTACTTAAGTTTGTACTTAAGGTACATCTTCCACAAAATGTACATAGGAGGATGTCATCAACAATTCTGAAGGATCACAGAATCCCAGAGGAAGCTGTACTTCAACTGCCTTGAAGGGCAGTAAGGATTCCTCTACCACATAAGAAGGCGCAATTTCCTGACAAAAAGAAAACAATATAGATACATGGAGCCCACTAGGAAATCACTATACAAAGTTCTGAAACATTTTAGGATATAGAAGGTGAGGTTAGAGAGGGTTTACATGAATATTATACTTTTTTTTGATTTTTGTGTAACTAATTTACTAGAGTGAGGGCTATATGGAGGGAAAAAAAGGCAAGAATTACAGAGTTTAAAATTTTGGATTCATTCTTATCTTTTAACCCGTACATCCATTGTCCAGTCTAGAGAAAGGAATACTGTGCACAAAGGGTCACAAGGCATAAAAATGCATGAATCTAGTGATCAATGAAATTGCTGTAGAGTAAGTGAAGCAATAAAGAAGAGTCCTAAATATGCTGAGTAGACAAAACATGACGCTAGAGAGGTAGGCATGGTCCAATTCTTTTTTTTTTTTAAGAGAGAGAGAGAGGGTGGGGGGAGAGGGAGAGAGAATTTTAATATTTATTTATTTAGTTAGTTAGTTTTTGGCAGACACAACATCTTTGTTCGTATGTGTGCTGAGGATCGAACCCGGGCTACACGCATGCCAGGCGAGCGCGCTACCGCTTGAGCCACATCCCCAGCCCACGGTCCAATTCTTAAAGGTATGTTGGACCAGCCTGAAGACTTATCTGCATTCTGTGCTAAATTATAAGGGAAAAACAGCAAAATTTTAAGCAGATTTTAAAATATCACGGTAATTTTTGAAAGAGTAATCTTGTTACCTAGTCAACTGAATGGGAGAAAGAGTGTGAAGAATTAGGTAAAGCCATTGCAGGGGTCCAAGTGAAAATTTTAGACTAGGGTTCTGGCAGTGAGGTATTGAGAGATGAACACATTTCACACCTAATTTGGAAGATGAATCTATGTGATTAGGAAACATTTTAATAGAAGATGAAAAGAAGGAACATGTCCAGAATGACCCCATATTTCCTACATGGGCATTTGAGTATAAAATGGTGTTTGCCATTCACTAGGAGAAAATATAATAAGAGAAGCATACTTTGACATGTGGGGAGGGAGCTGGTAAGGAGCTTCATTTTATGCATAATTTCAATGGATTCCTATGGGACCCTTAAGTAGAGATTTCATGGAGACAACTGAAAATGCACATCTCAAATTCACAGAATAAATATGAGCTAGAGATAGAAAAGTAGGAGTCTTAGGTCTTGGAGTTGGGTGTGGTGTCCATACCCCAAATCCCAGGGATTTGGGAAGTTGTGGAAGGTGGGTCACAGTTCAAGGTCAGTCTTAACAACTTTGTGAGACCCTGTCTCAAAATAAAAATCAAAAGGGTTAGGGATGTAGCTCAATTGTAGAGAACCCCTGGGTTCAATCCCCTGTACTGGGAGGCAAAGAGAGGGATAAGCTTCAGCACTACAGATGGTAGTTAAAGCTTTGGGGATAGGAGAGCTCATTTAGAAAGTAATGTACCCAGTGAGGAAAAGAGCTAATGTTTTGAAGTGGGCAGGAAAAAAGACTCATAAAGGAAATGTAGGAAGAGGAGTAAGTGAGAGAACATGAGGTGAGAATATGAGATTATAGGAGGAAGCAGTCAGTAATGTTAAATATTTCAGGGAAGACAAGGCATTAAAAACTGTCCTTTAGATTTGTCAACACTAACACTACTGCATGACTTCTACTTAAACACAACAATCTAAACCCCCAATTCTAATTACTCCTTCCAAAAATATTAATACAATGATAACACAAGGAAAGAAAGTTATGACCCCATGACAAATCATAGCAAAAGCAGCTACATCCATTAAGGAGTGCCATCATATCTTAGTATACATTACAGATCCTCAGAGGAAGTTGTTCAATGAGTCAATCAGCACTTATTCAATCTTTCAAATTCCATCTTAGAGGAAAAGACACTGACTCAGGAGTTTAAAAAAGATAGTGAGAAATACCTAGGTGTTACAGCTAAAGAAAAAAAAATGCCGAAAAGTCTATCTCCCTTAGAGTGAACTCATACTAGTAATATTTATATTCTATATGTGTTTTTTCAAAGGTAGAAAAAATCTACTATAATGTGAAAATTGTTGGTCTGTTCTTTCTTTTTTTCACTGAATGAAATTATTTTTGGCTTAATTAACCAAGATCGTTTTCTTTAATCACAGCCCTAAAAGATGTGAACTGTTCAACCATGATAAAATTTTTGTATTTCCTTTCAACATAGTCTTCCTAAGCATTGTAAGTCAAGAGAAATGACTACAACTCACCTTGCGGTGCAGTATAAGCAAACTTCCTTTTCTGAAAGAGAATACCAAATAAATTCACTCACCAAAAATTTTTATTAAATGCAGGATGTATGTCAGCACCGTTCAAGGCATTGGGAATTCAGGCTGAACAAGGCATGGATGAGTTTACCAAGTACTGGGAAATAAAATGGTTCCTTGTGAAGTTCATTCTTAAAGTATGACCGAAAATTTTAAAAATCACTGTTTCCAGGTATTTGCATATAAACATCTTTTACATTACCATAAATTTCTATAATGAAACTCTTCAGAAATTTTATTTCTTAAACTGCCTCAATTCATTATCTACATAGATTTAAATTAAAAGACCTATATTTTCAATAATAAAAATTGAGAATATCAAATTTAAGTCATTTACATCTTTAAAAAAATAAACAGAAGATAGGAGTACCATAAAAATATTTTAAAACTGAACAAGTAAACCAAAGCTGTCTTCTAATAACTGGTTAGGTATAAAGGATTTGTAAAAATTAAGAGACTTGAATTAATGGAGCACTGAGCAAAAATATATGTATACAATTTTACTCTGAAAAATCTATATGGAATTTTTATTTAAAATTTAACTCTGATTTGTTAATTCAAATACATGTGTTTATGCATTGGTGTTTCACAATAAAAAAGAGAGAGAAATGGTTACCAACAGATATTCTGTGTAGCAATATGTGTTTTTCATCTGAACAGAGACAGGAAGGGTTGACTAGAACAAGACTAATTAAGAATCCTAGGGAAAAAAAAATGGCAGTGAGAAAAAATGGAAATTGTATGAAAGGAAATGGCAACAAATAAACTAATTAAATTTCTTTCTCTGAGACAATTGCTGACCCACCTCACTAACAGTGTCAAATTTAAGAACTTATATTAAAGGTCTTGCTTTGGTCATTCTACCAACACTGACTCACTCTATCAGTTCTTATATCTAATAGAAAAGATAAATATCATAGTGTTACCTATTATAAATATAAAATAAAAGGATGTGCTATTCTCACAAAACACAATAGGAACAATTAAAACAAATTTCAGCTCACTTCTGCCCTTTTGCTGAGAATAATACCTTTAATAAGAATGTCACAAAATGTATAAATCTATTAATCTGATTATGAAGACTGCCTAAGGTACCTCAATATGTAAGGCTACTAGAAAACTAAAAAAGTCAAAATCAAAACACATGTGGTCACTACATTATACAGGGAAATACTGAAGGGACTACATTCACATGTATTGTAATGGACACTAGAATGAGCATTTCATAATAAAATAATGATATGAATGCAACAGCTCCATTTTGTCTGGATGTCAGGAGATATGCAAAATATTTCATCATTCTTTGTAAAATCTCCCTGAAATCCTATGTTATTAACTTTTATGTGATGCTTTTTAAAAAGGTGACATATCCTCTATGCTTCATTTGTATGATTTGAAATAAACCAAAATATCACTTAATGGTGTAACTTTATTAGGAAAAAATAGCAATATGTTGTATAAACATGCTGGAAACCAAAAGGGGAAATTGAGCAATGGAAAAAGGATATGAAATTTCAGTTAAAGAGGAGGAATATTTTCAAGAGACCTATTGTACATCAAGGTGACTGGAGTTAGTAACAATACATTGTATAATTGAAAATTGCTAAGAGTAAAGAGTAAGTGTTCTCACTACAAAAAGTAATAAGTTTATGAACTGTTACATAAAATAGCTTGATTTAGCCATTCCACAATGTGTACATGTATCAAATCATAATAGTGTACAACATAAATATCACATTACATCAAATGCAACCTTAAAGAAGCTCTTCAGTATGTGCACAAAGTGATACATACAAATATGTTCACTGCAATATTATCTGAAATAATAAAAACTGGGAAACAATAAGTCGTTCATACCAAGGAAAATTTTTTTTTTCAAAAAACTATGCCTTAATCAAATTATGGAATGTTAGAGAGCAATTAAAAACTAATGAATATTACCCATCAAAATATCAAAAATGCAAAAAAGATAAACTACATGTTGGCAAGACATGGAGCAACTTGAACTCTCATACCTTAATAGTGAAAGGATAAACCACTATCTGGTATCTGCTTTAGAAGATGTGGAATTTAGTGTCTTTTACACACAATATACATCTAAATAATATTCAGAGAAGTATTATTCCTAAAACTAAATTCACTAAATTCATTGATATGAATGCACAGGTCTTGGCACCCAGACAAAATGGAGCTGTTGCATTCATTATGAATTAAGTGAATGTGGAATGTCCCCCCAGAGCTCATGTATTGAAAGCAGGGTCCCCAATGAACAAGGTTCAGGGGAAGGAAGATCTAGGCAATGACTGGATCACAAGGGCTCTAAATAGATTACTAAAATTTAGAATGTGCTTAGAGGAAATAGATCACTGGGTGTATGTTATGCAGGGTTTATCTCCTCTCCAGATCTTCTCTTCTACTCTGCTTCCTGGATGCCATGAGCTGAGCAGCTTCACTCTGCCACACTGTTCTGCTATGACGTTCTACCTCATCTCAGGTCAACAGCAATGAAGCTGGCTGACCACAGCCCAAATCCTCTGAAACCATGGCCCAAGAAGGGGTAAGAAGCTGGGTACAATTTCTCATGCCTATAATCCCAGAGGCTCAGGAGGCTGAGGCAGGAAGAGTTCAAAGCCAGCCTCAGCAACAGTGAGGCACTAAGCAATTCAGTGAGACCTTGTCTAATAAAATACAAAAAAGGGCTGGGGATGTGGCTCAGTGGTCATGTGCCCCTGAGTTCAATACCAAAAAAAAAAAAAAAAAAAAAGGAGGAGGAGGAGGAATAAGAGGTGCTCTACATCATTATAGTGAAGTCTGAAGACATAAAACAAAATTGTAATGTATGTCAAATTTGAATATGAGTGCCTACTATGTATTTTCTGAATGTTAGAATATTTCAAAATGCAAGTATTAAAGAAAACTATCACTTTGGACTCTACAATGAAGAGAATTTGAAATTATTTTCAAGGAAACACATTACAATAAATTTGCTCAGATCAGGAGATTAATTAATGCTTTTTTAGACCTTAAATTACCTAAGATGACCTATATGTTTTATTTTAGGTGAAGATTTTAGGTCTTAATAAAATTTATACATTTTACAAACCTAAAATATTCTCCCTATGTAGACTAAATGGTATTTTATTATTTACAAAACAAAAAATTATAGCTAATGAAATTGTCAATAATAAAATTATTAAGCACATAAGAAATTTAAGTAGAAATGATCATTAGGTCATATATATGGAGGAAATATATTTTCAAGCTATTCTGTAATATCTGACCAAGACCACTTTGCTTCTTCTTTATGTCATTACCCATGGCTATAATAAGAATGGAGCATGTGAGTAATAATAGTTGCATGGATAGAACTGTCAGCTCCACAAAATTAGACCATAAATGCATCCACTAAAAAGGAGTTACTCATTTCAGGAATACTCAGTCCCCTGTCCCAGATAACACTTTGCATCGTTAACTTGGAAGTGGACTCCATGGGTAACTAACTGTTCCTTCAAATAGATTTGGAGATTACCATGCATTTTGTGTTTAACAAGAAATTTTGTCTTTACCATCTTGCCTTTAAACATGAAGAGATATAAAGAAAACACAAGTTTTTAGTAGTTTGCCTTTTTAAAAAATAATAGTCACTCAAACTAAGACTTAAGGCTTTTGTGATAAATATGTACGTTTGATGGGAGTTTGTCCTCAGATTTAAATACTGCCTCTCTTAATTACAATCCTCCCTTTAGTGTCTGAGAGCAGACATTTAGTCAAGAGTTGAGTATTATTCAGCACTCACAAGACACAAATTTAGTCAGATATTTAGGCAAGATATGCAGGCTACTTTTTAAGGATCTTAACAGTTGTTTTTGCTGGAAAACCTACATCATTATAAGAGTGCAAGGAGTTTTGTCAAAATTACTATTTTTAGAAGATCCAAATCAGTTTTGAAGACAGCTGTATAAACCTCTCGCAAGAAGCTGGTGCCTCACTATTTAGTATAAACTAAATCACAGGAACATCAATTTTTAAAGAAAGATTCAACTCCTTCTTTGCATTTTTTGTCATGTCAAAACTGACACCTCTTTTTTATACATTTAATAAATAATCTTATTTCTCATATTCCCATAAATCTTCTCAAGATGACCAATGCAAATCCTTTTGATCTCTAATCAAGATGTAGTAGTATATCATTCTCTGAATTACACACTGAAGAAAAAGAACCCTATTCTATTTCCTGCTGAGAATTTGTAAAAGAAATATATGTGTGCGTGTGTGTGTGTGTGTGTGTGTATCTCCATCAGATATTCTTCTAAGGATTTATAAACATTCCAGGTACATTAATATGAAGTTTCAGAAAAACTGGGGCACAAAGAAATAGTAACTTTTTAAATATTTCCATGTGGTGATAGGATACATATTTCCTGAATTCCAGAACTATATTAATTCCAGAAGAATTCTCTGCTTCAGGACTTAACAAATAAAATAAATGGCTACATAAAATAATGCATATTATTGTATACCTATATATTTTTGAGAGAGATACAAAACCACACATAATGTGGGCATATAAACACATACATACATGCCAAAAATACATTTATTCTCTTATATACACACAACTGCTGTATAAGTGAAGGGCAAGCAAAAGATCACCAACACTAAATAAATGACTGCTCTGTCAGGTATTCTGTGTGTTTGATCATTAAACCTTGACATAACTCTATAAAGAAGTTATTATTGTTGCTTTTTTACATGCAAAACTTACCCAGAATCCATGTAAATTAGAAGTGGCAGCGCAAACATTTGAACCCAGGTCTGTCAAACTCAAAATGGGGCTCTTTCCTCCACAACATGCTTAAAATAAGTTTCAGAAAGACTACAAGCATTGCTTTATGCCTCTTGAACACAGAAAAAAAAATTCATTCTGGCACTATGAAGAAACATAGCTAGTTTTTAAAACAAAATCTGATTTTA